ACACGCAGGACCACTCGCGACCACTCGAGACCACACTGGTGCAAAAATGATTAAAATATTACCACACGCGAGTATAAAACTGCTATATAATCAATAAAAACCAACTTTTATAATGGCAATTGTCCAAAATATGGTAAAAATGAATTCGGAAGGTAATGCGTTAACATTGAGGTTCTGTAACGCATTCACGTCTCCAGAAACGCGTTCAACCTTGACCTCTACCACATTCATTACGTACGTTACTTCATCCTGCGTGTATGCCTATTGTATGTATGGGCCTAAGTATTCTACAATAACTGTATTTATTACTGTATCTGCTTTGTATTTGCATACTTAAGTGTTTTTGACTCTTATTATTTTAATTTTAATTTTATTTGTATTGATTCTGTAGTTATGTTTTAGCCCAGAGACAAATCTAGTTAACTTCTTATGAATAATGTTTTTAAAGATGGTATTTTAAGATTTTTTCTATGAAAATAAATAAAAAATAAATAAATGGCAGTAGTATCGCTTTTTGTGTTTCAATGTATTTTTTGTTTGTTTTTGTATCACTGTTTGTTATCTTCTTTGCTGGGATCTGCGGAGGACCAGGAATTTTATCCCTGAGCAGTCCCCCAGGATAACAATAAGGTAAATAAATAAATAAAAAATGAAATATTGTTTATATGCTTTTTAATGTAAATTTTGTTGGTTTTTACGCACCATAGCATTGGGAGTGTAAGCTCAATAATTTATTATTATAATCCAGAGGTGACGGAACTAGAGGGTTATGGAGAGTAATGTGTGACCGGAAATGGTCTGCAGTCAGTTGGTTGTTACCATGCGCCAGTGATGTTGGAGTATATAGTACAGCAATATTAAACTAGGCCTAATGAATGAATAAATTTCGGAGGTTTGTCGGGTAGTGAAATGATTATTTCACATTTTAAGTGCTCCCTAAATTCATAAGTGTAAGCTAAATTACGGTGATTAATTAAATTAGCGAAGATAATTATTTCGAATCCCTCTTTCCAAGAGGGGATGCAAATGATGCTTTGTGAAAATGAGTACGCCGCGGTACTCATTTTCACAAAGAAATACACACAACTGGTTAGCTAACAATTATGTCAATGTTACATGAACACCTGGGAAGGAAGGTGCAATCACGTTGTTACCTAGCAGACGTCTGTACCTGTCTCTTATACACATCTAGATGTGTATAAGAGACAGGTAGACACCTGGTGAGTGTGCACGGAGCCTCGGAGGGA